TGTACAACTTACTTGTACTGTTGACTAACACCCGATTTTCTGTACAACTTACTTGTACTGTTGACTAACACCTGATTTTCTGTACAACTTACTTGTACTGTTGACTAACACCTGATATGTACAACTTACTTGTACTGTTGACTAACACCTGATATGGGTACAACTTACTTGTACTGTTGACTAACACCCGATTTTGTGTACAACTTAATTGTACTGTTGACTAACACCAGATATGGGTACAACTTACTTGTACTGTTGACTAACACCAGATATGGGTACAACTTACTTGTACTGTTGACTAACACCCGATTTTGTGTACAACTTACTTGTACTGTTGACTAACATCTTACCATTTTTCCTGAAGATACTCTTCACAAGTTTGGAATTAAAGAGAATATAACTTTTCCAATATGCACACTCAGTTAATAGAGTACCTAGTGTTAAAAATATGGAGTTTTTTAATTTGTCAAATCACATCATAACAATACCAGATAAAGTATTACTTTTAAGATATAAAATAACTAAAACAGCTAACTTTTAATATACAATACCTTGTATCCAAGATGGCTTTTTGTTTGCTTCGTTGAATTTCCCGCAAATCTACACAACGGCTATATTTGCTAGCCCTCCCTAATTTTGAAACAATAGAATAAATGGAAGGCAGTTAGTCAATACCTATCACCAACTCTTGGGCTACTCTTTTAATAACAAAGAAGAGTGGAATTGCCTGTCACATTATAACAATCCCACGGGTTAAAGGGCGAGCATGCTTGGGAATGGGACTCGATTCTGTGACTCACAGATCAGGAGTTAGGCACCATGAAGGAGAGTCACAACCAATATTTTAGTGGTACAAAATAACAAAGGTGAGTGAAAACCAACCTGATTAAAGAGTGAAGGTGAGATGCCACCACCTATAGAACTTGTGGGAACACTGGCTTGAACCCGAGTTGAACCCGTCTTGCTTGAGTTTAATGTTCCAGGACTTGGTAAAGAGCCTGAAATAGTTTCATCTTTTTTAAGTCTTATTCCAAAATGGTTTCTTTACTCAGCTATTATGAAAGTTATAGATGAGGTTAAAAGAAAACTCCTTAATGACCAGCAATATTTTTTTACCAAAACCATACCAACTATGTATTATTTCCACCCTTTTTTTTTAAGCTCTCCTTACAAATACCACTCATGACGATACTGTCAAAACTTCAGCTCCAACTAAAACTTTACTGCCTGCTATTAGACTCAGAATGATCCTTTGCTTACTACTTTACAAAATTAGGTTTTTTCAAGTTCAATTACATTCTTTGACTGTACAAACTTAAATCTCATCGTTACAGAAAACCACAGAACTTAATTCTTACGTTTCAAGAGGGAAACCTTTATTTGAAACAGTTCAGGATTCAAACCCAAAAAATTGTAAAAAAACAACAACACAATACTACACAAGAGGCTCTTGCTTCAAAAGAAATATCGTTAAGTTTGATGTATAGAAAGACCCAAAGAACCCATAAATCAACTGAGACATATGACGAGGGGCACGTTCTAGAACCCACAATCAACACAAACCAAAAAGTTACAAGTGTAAAATCAAATCTAGGAGGACAGAAAAGGATACTAAGATAAAAAGTAAGACCAGACCAGAAGAATTTATTGTCCTAAAGTAACAACAAGTAATCCCCTCTCCATATAAGAGAATACAAGTCACCGAGTGAAAGATACGACCAACATCTAAGAATGAAGTATAACCAAAGAAATAAAGAACAATCTACTGCTTGTGGATAATAATCAACAGGCTTCAAGCTCTTGAATATCATGTAACCTTAAGTCAAAGATAATAATCAACAGGCTTCAAGCTCTTGAATATCATGTAACCTTCAGTCAAAGATAATATTCAACTGGCTTCAAGCTCTTGAATATCATGTAACCTTAAGTCAAAGATAATATTCAACCGGCTTCAAGCTCTTGAATATCATGTAACCTTAAGTCAAAGATAATAATCAACCGGCTTCAAGCTCTTGAATATCATGTAACCTTAAGTCAAAGATAATAATCAACAGGCTTCAAGCTCTTGAATATCATGTAACCTTAAGTCAAAGATAATAATCAACAGGCTTCAAGCTCTTGAATGTCATGTAACCTTAAGTCAAAGATAATAATCAATGAAATAATTCAAAAGTAATCTTTTGACAGACATGTAGCAAATTCACTAAAAGTTTACAATGAGAATTTTCTCCATCTGTTTTTCTATACTAAGAAGATAACTAGGGCTTGACTGCCCTGTGCAATATTTACAAGAAGAGAAACCAAGAGGTTAAAACTAGTATTTCCTCCAGTCATGAGACAGAAGGCAAGACAAGTGAGGCTTGACTGTCCTGTGCCACACTTACAAGAAGAGAAACCAAGAGGTTAAAACTAGTATCTCCTCCGGTCACGAGACAGAAAGCAAGACAAGTGAGGCTTGACTGTCCTGTGCCACACTTACAAGAAGAGAAACCAAGAGGTTAAAACTAGTATTTCCTCCAGTCATGAGACAGAAGGCAAGACAAGTGAGGCTTGACTGTCCTGTGCCACACTTACTAGAAGAGAAACCAAGAGGTTAAAACTAGTATCTTCTCCAGGCATGAGACAGAAGGCAAGTTGGGCTTGACTGTCCCGTGTCACACCTACCTAGACTGTTCTACCAAGAAGAGTAAATGACGGTCTAACAAAGGAAACCACTAGAGAAGTCTTCACGTCACAGCAATGTCCACTACCGAAATACGATGTCAAAAATGGAAAGACAATAAACTAATCCAAAAGCATCCCCAGAAACTAAACAAAATTTAGGTTCTCAGAAATATATGTAAAATCACCACTAGAGTGTAGGAAAAACTCAGAAGTTGAGAAAAAGTTGTAAATAATAAAATATACAAACAATTAAATAGTACTTTATGCATTAAAATTTCTGTGTAAAATTAATTAAAAGGGTTGTGAATGACACAGTTTGACCCACAGTGTTCAATTTTTTTCAGACAGTAAAATTCAACATGCCATATTTCTCCTTACAGCTGTATTTAGTTTAAAATGATTGTTTGAATAAATTAGTTAACAGAAATAAACTTCTGTCAGTCTTGTTGTGAAGCAAATGTTGACGTAAGACCACAATGCATCAGTCAGAATTAATTACAAAAAATTAAGACATCTAAATCTGAAATATGACAAAAATAATTTACAAAACTGAAGCAACTGTATTGAAGTTAGAACTTTTAAAATCAAAACATTTACTTTTAATTTAATAGCTAGTACATACTAGTAAATTTGGTTTTAGGGAGACAGAGATATATACTACTGAATATAGTATGCATATTATTCAGCAAAACACATTCATCAAAATATTAGTTGAATTTCTAGCTATTTTACTTTAAGAAAACTCTGACTGGACAGTGTTCCTACTTTACATCTCTGTCCATAGTTAAACTTACAAATGATCATTATGAGGTACAGTTTTAACAGCATGATCATTGTGAAGTACAGTTTAACAGCATGATCATTGTGAAGTACAGTTTAACAGCATGATCATTGTGAGGTACAGTTTTAACAACATGAGCATTGTGAGGTACAGTTTTAACAACATGATCATTGTGAGGTACAGTTTTAACAGCATGATCATTGTGAGGTACAGTTTTAACAGCATGATCATTGTGAGGTACAGTTTTAACAGCATGATCATTGTGAGGTACAGTTTTAGCAACATAATCATTGTGAGGTACAGTTTTAACAACATGAGCATTGTGAGGTACAGTTTTAACAGCATGATCATTGTGAGGTACAGTTTTAACAGCATGATCACTGTGAGGTACAGTTTTAACAGCATGATCATTGTGAGGTACAGTTTTAACAGCATGATCATTGTGAGGTACAGTTTTAACAGCATGATCATAGTGAGGTACAGTTTTAACAGCATTGTTTCTTTAGTATAAGATCATAATAAGTGAAAACTTTGGTCAAAAATTACAATTATCACAAACTGAGTACCATTTTCTTTTCTCTATAATAAACAAATTCATTTAAAAGTAGCTTGTCCATTTTTTACTATATTACAGCCTCTTCATTTATCAACTGGATTCTAGATATCAGTAGGTAAAGTATCTAAAACTATCAATATTAGAAACAGGTCTACTTGCAACTTTGTTAAAAACATGCGACGTAACACTGATAACAAGCTTGAAATATCCAACATGCAACACTTGCCAAGGACGTAACACTGACAACAAGCTTGAGATGTCCAACGTGCAACACTTGCCAAGGACGTAACACTGATAACAAGCTTGAGATGTCCAACGTGCAACACTTGCCAAGGACGTAACACTGATAACAAGCTTGAGATGTCCAACGTGCAACACTTGCCAAGGACGTAACACTGATAACAAGCTTGAGATGGCCAATGTGCAACACTTGCCAAGGACGTAACACTGATAACAAGCTTGAGATGTCCAACATGCAACACTTGCCAAGGACGTAACACTGATAACAAGCTTGAGATGTCCAACATGCAACACTTGCCAAGGATGTAACACTGATAACAAGCTTGAGATGTCAACATGCAACACTAGCCAAGGATGTAACACTGATAACAAGCTTGAGATGTCCAACATGCAACACTTGCCAAGGATGTAACACTGATAACAAGCTTGAGATGTCCAACATGCAACACTTGCCAAGGATTTGCTTACATTTCATTTATTTTCTTGAAAAACAGTTAACTAAAGACATTTTTGCACACAGTAATACAAAGGTTATTTCCACAAAGCCAAGCCTAATTTTGAACTGATAGATTACAAGTAAGGTGGTTAGTCAATAGCACCCACCACCTTATCTTGTTTGACTGAATAGTGTAATATTACCATCACTCTTATAGTGTACCAAGAATCCTCAGATTCACAGTCCAGACACACTAAGTCACACCAAGCCCATACTAATACCTAATGCACTTACCTAAAGAAATTAGGTTTGAGTGGTGAACACCTAGTTGTGCGGTCTGCACGTCCATTAGCGTGTTGCCATTCATTAGGGTGATGCCGTTTACCAGCAGATTGCCATTATTTGTAGCTAGAATCACAAAATTTTGTTTAATAGAGGTTTCCTGTACCAACCACTAATGTTCTACATCAAACTCAAAAAGACACAATTATAAGACCTAAAACTCACTAACGTTCTACAACAAACTCAAAAACACACAATTATAAGATCTAAAACTCACTAACATTCTACATCAAACTCAACAAGACACAATTATAAGACCTAAAACTCACTAACGTTCTACATCAAACTCAAGAAGACACAATTAGAAGACCTAAAACTCACTAACGTTCTACATCAAACTCAAAAACCCACAATTATAAGATCTAAAACTCACTAACGTTCTACATCAAACTCAACAAGACACAATTATAAGACCTAAAACTCACTAATGTTCTACATCAAACTCAAAAAACACACAATTATAAGATCTAAAACTCACTAACGTTCTACATCAAACTCAACAAGACACAATTATAAGACCTAAAACTCACTAACGTTCTACATCAAACTCAAAAACACACAATTATGAGACCTAAAATTGACTATGTATCAAACAATGCTATATGTGTGTTCTAAATAACAATGTCACAATTTGTGAGGGATATTTTTTGATTATTATTAACTTATTTATTTCAACACTCTTGTAACTGAAGTATCTTCAACATTTTAACATTCTAAGAACTACAGATCCCTTTCAAAGTTTTTTAATTACTTCATTATATTATCTAAGTCTCTACATACCTTACAACACAAAAAAAGGCTACAACAGTACCTTACAACACAAACAAAGGTTACAACAGTACCTTACAACACAAACAAAGGCAACAACAGCAGTACATACTTACCAGTTTGAGCGTCCAGTGTTTGCCAGTAGCTTTCACTCGGAGATGTCTCATTGAACCCGGGAGGGGGCTGAGGTGGTTGACCGGTATATCGAAAAAATGGATTCTTAAGATCTAAGGAATTGTGGCTGGAAGCACTCGTTCCTTCAACTTGTAGTTCAATGTCAACATCGTAGCTCTGCCTGGTGACATACAAAATAATACTTAGAAAACACAACAGAAGTGGAAAAATAATAATTAAATACACCCAACGACTCTAGCATTTTTAAAGTTAGGTACAACTTCTGTGTAAAGTATCTGACCAGAGAACAGAATGAATATTAAGTTTTTGGAACAACTTCTGTTTGTCAAGTTCAAAATGTGTAAAGTATCTGACCAGAGAACAGAATGAATATTAAGTTTTTGGTACAACTTCTGAGTAAAGTATCTGAACAGAGAACAGAATGAATATTAAGTTTTTGGTACAACTTCTGTTTGTCAACTAATTGATTTTTTAGACTTTTTCTGCTCATTGCAAAGTTAAATAGTTACCAAGAAATATCAACCCTTGAGAATTACAGATGTGATTATATTAAAATGATTTTGGAGCCTAACTATGTCATCTCAGTCCATGTTGTTACGTTTGGTCATACTCAAACTGACAACCATGCATCTGTTGTAAGGCTGTTTTATTTAAAGCAAACTTCTCATCCTTGCATTCCTTCCATAATCCATCTAATGTATGAGCACAACAGTTTTGTAGTGCCCATTTCAAAAGTATGATTGCACAGAAAACCATACAAGCTGTGTCTGGCAGCTTGACTTGTTTGTCTTTGTATGGAATACCATGAATACCCATTTCATTCTTTAGCTGCTTGAGGTGTATGAAAGTTGAATGGGAGGTATGAAAAGAAGCCTTATCTTGGTGAACTTATACACTGTTGGCCTTGGACATGTGAAAGGCTTTTGCCACTGATCTTTGTGTTTATGGATTCTCAACTATTACATGACGCTGCACTTAGTTTACAATGGATGAAATACGACTTGTTACAGTTCTCTTTCTGGATGGCCCTGGTGCACTAAGTTGATCCACATTCCTTTGTTTTCCAATGCTAATATGTATAAGGGATATATATTCCCATCTTGAAAATTCTAAATTTACAACCTGAGCACTTCTACATGATTGGAAATTATGAATATTTTGTTTCAGAAAGGGCTTTTACAAACCCTTCCCAAAGTAGCCTAGTTTCTGTGGCATCATATTATCTACAAAATACATACAACGTAAAAATGTAGTTCTGACATTTCACGATGACTTGTTTTTATAGAACATACTAAACAATTTTTATGTTCTCATGGTTTTCTTACACTTTCTCCGATTTTGTTAGCACAGGTTCTCGTTCCCATCCTTTTATGACCTTATGGTATGTGATGTGGACAACTACTAATGAAGCTCAGCTTGGAAATAGATAAAGGCAATGTTTAAATAGCATTTGATAGGCAGATTATAAATTATTAATATGAAAGTATAGTGAATAGAGTAGTGTAAGAAATAATTCATGGTTCTATAAAGCTGATTAAGTCCTGTTATTATCTGCAGAAGTTAGGTTTTGTCACTCTAAATGACTTAGG